CTTCCTCCTTGTAAAAACATTCCAGACACCTATTGTATCATAGGCACATTTTACTTATTCTAAAACATGATAGTGGAAGGGCTCCCAAAAAGGTGGTGGACTTTTTTCTGACACTTATATCCTATTAATGAGACATTTTATGCTTTCTAATATGTATGCTATAGTTTGGCAATTTTCCTTCAGCTACATGAATAATATATCTACAAACCCCCACAGCTCTTGTAGGCCAATCACAGTTGTTTTCCCACCTCTACAAGTCACTGTGGGATTGCATTTTCTGATATGATACTTATTTTTTTTTTTTTTTTTTTTTTTACTATTCATACATTTATAAATTTACAAATATATCCAAATATACATTTTATTGTCTTATATGATAGAAATTGGCTTGCGTGCTTTGTTTACAAATTCATAGTAATGTTTGCCAATTTTTCCATTCATGCACAAGGGGAAACTTTGATAATCTTTTTCCAATTTGCACTGTACTAACACTTTTATATGATAATTAAATATGATTTTCTGATACATAAAACTGAGCTCTTCAATGCCTGCTACCAAAATCTGCACTATTAAAACTGAAGAATCAGGCCCAATTTGCATCTGGGGGACAGACAAGCTAGAGAAGTTGCAGTTCTTGGGGGTTGATAATTCTGAACAAACCATAAATAAAAGCGATTTATATAAAAAAAAGAGAAAAGAATCTCGTTATTCATCAATCTTGCTATCGGCCTTTCATTACCTAATTCATGAAGATACATGCAGTCTGGTTTAGGGCACTGCTGGTTCTTCATGAAGTGGGAGCAGTACTTGGTGGTACCAAGGGAGGCTTCAACGTCCGACCTCACGTGGATGTTATTTACAGCTTGGATAGCTCTAAGTGCATCCTCTGCACGTTGATAGGTGACGTACGCTGATGCACTTGGACCTGTTGATTAAGATTTACTTTTAAGAAGATCATATGAGAAAATTTTTAAAGAGGTGAATATGAACTTTAATTTTTACATAATATAATATATATCTTGTTATACTTTAAACACTACTCTTCTGGACTCGTGTATAAAACCATTCAAAAAAAGTTTCACTCAAGGTCACTTTAGTTAAGAAGGTTAATTTTGGCATGAAATCAGCGCCAACTGGGTTATATAATAGATATTATACCGTGTGTGCTGGTAATAAAATCAACCCAATGCCCCCAAGGATGACATGTATACATGCCATACCCACAGAGAGTTTAGTTTGTCAATTGTCTTTACACATAGATGACTCTCACAGGAACACCACTGATATTTATGACATTAGTTAAAAGAACATTTTTTCCAAAATGAAAGGGGAAATTAGATCTACTAACTGAGTCCTTGGGAGTCTGTGCACTTGTGTAAACACATATCATAAATGAAACTACACTGACTATATATATTTCTTAGGTGGCTTAGTTAATACATACAAGAGTATTAAAAAACTTCTTGCATGTAACCTTTGCCCTGAGGGTCACAAGACAAATTCTATTCTATCTTTTAGTCTAAGTCAACATGACCTCCCACTATTAGCACTTAAATGTACCTTGCTTTGCTCCTACTATGTGTAAGACAATGACATTATTTTGGCACAAGCATGTCATGTAACCATCTCTATCATTCAATATTCATAGCTCTCAAATTCTGCATCTTGCTAACAGACCTCCCTGACATAATACTAATAATAGCTATATGAAACTGAAAAAGAGGGAGCAAGAGAAAGCACGAGAGAGAGAGTGATCAAACCTTATAAATCCATATAAACAATTCCTCCTCACATTGGAAGAAATCAGCAGGCAGCAACATCCAGGCTATGTACCCTCATCTTATAAGCAATGGCCTTTCTATATTATCAACAGCCAAAGGGATTTGCCACAAATGGGCTGCCATCCAAGGAGAACACATTTACAAATGGTTGATACGCAGAAACATCTGAACCAACACATTTCACCATTGACAGATCTCACAGACCGATGCCAAAGTAAAACTTGGCAGCCAGGTGTAAATTTCTTTACCTGCACTCCCCATCCTCTTCCTCCCCCCCTTCCCTGCATATTTGGCAAGACTACCCTTCACCTAAATAAAACAAATGTCTCACATGAATAACCTAATTTCAGCAAGTCATGACACTTGCGTTATTTCCAATGAGGGCATGAGAAGAAACAACAACAACAACAATGGGACTGTTCCATACTTATAAACCACATCCAATCTGTCCTAAACTGTACTACATTTAACCCCCCTCCCAAGGAGAACCATACCTTTCCCTAAACCAATAATTCACAAATATTCAAGACCACATACTCACATAATCCCCCACAGTCTCTGTCTGTTTATCTTTATTTTTTCTATCTTTGTCCCTCTGCCTCTCTCCTGTTTGTTTTCTGTTATTGTCACTATAGGTCTTCAAGTGCAAATGCACTTAAACCAGCACAAGTTTGTTTTGCTTCAAGGCTCTTTCCCTCTACCTCTTTTCTTTCTTGTTCATGATATAATAGTCATATCAGGAAAACAACAAAAATGTTATCAACAT